ATCGTGGCTGACAGAGACAACCATCGCCTCCTTGTATACAGCACCAAAACTGGCAAACTGATCAGAAAAATCGGTCGCAAAGGCAGTGCGGAGGGACAGTTTGACGGGCCTTCAGGTATTTCTGTAGACGGTGAAGGTCGAATCATAGTCGCCGACTGGAACAACCACAGAATCCAAGTGTTCTCGCCCGAAGGCATGTTCCTGTTCAAATTTGGAGACACCGTGAAGAATAAATTGAAGCACCCGAGAGCCGTTACTTTCTGCGACGTGCGAAAGCGCTTCGTCGTTTCGGACACCGGAAATAATGTCGTGAAAGTTTTCGGCCCGAAAGGCAAGTTTCTCAACACCGTTGGAAAGCCGGGAGTCAGGAAGGGGGAGCTCTACAGCCCTAGAGGAGTCACCGTGGATAACCTAGACAGAATCGTGGTTTGCGATTTCGACAATCATCGCGTGCAGTTCTTCAGATTCGATGGCACATGTCTAAATTCATTCGGCTCAAAAGGCAAGGATCTGGGACAGTTTAATCGCCCAATGGGCGTAGCTCTCCTCAACGACGATCAACTTGTAGTTAGTGACTGGGGAAATGATCGTATACAAGTGTTTTCCATGATAGGTCCTCAAATGANTTCGGAGGCGAAGAGCTTGACTATCCAGTGGGAATTGCTTTTGACATCACAGAGAAAAACGTCATCGTGGCTGACAGAGACAACCATCGCCTCCTTGTATACAGCACCAAAACTGGCAAATTGATCAGAAAAATTGGTCGTAAAGGCAGTGCGGAGGGACAGTTTGACGGGCCGTCAGGTATTTCCGTAGACGGTGAAGGTCGAATCATAGTCGCCGACTGGAACAACCACAGAATCCAAGTGTTCTCGCCCGATGGCATGTTCCTGTTCAAATTTGGAGACACCGTGAAGAATAAATTGAAGCACCCGAGAGCCGTTACTTTTTGCGACGTGCGAAACCGCTTCGTCGTTTCGGACACCGGAAATAATGTCGTAAAAGTTTTCGGCCCGAAAGGCAAGTTTCTTAACACCGTTGGAAAGCCGGGAGTTAGGAAGGGAGAGCTCTACAGCCCTAGAGGAGTCACCGTGGATAACCTAGACAGAATCGTGGTTTGCGATTTTGACAATCATCGCGTGCAGTTCTTCCGATTCGATGGCACGTGTCTAAATTCATTCGGCTCTAAAGGCAAGGATCTGGGACAGTTCAATCGCCCAATGGGAGTAGCTCTCCTCAATGATGATCAACTTGTAGTTAGTGACTGGGGAAATGATCGTATACAAGTGTTTTCCATGATAGGTCCTCAAATGA